ATCCTTATACTTCGGGGGAGTGCTGTGCTGAATAATAGCACTAACATTTTCAGTCAACCTCACTTTTTTTGGCAAATGATTCTTAGAAGTGCGCTTTTGAGTGCACAAATCTTTGAGAAATTTTGCATAGGGGGGGATTTGCTTGATAGCATCCAACAGGGGCAAGTTAATCTTCACTTGCTTGAAGACTTCCCACATATCTTGAATTTTACAATTCTTGTTCCCAAAGTGTGTCGACTCTTGAAGACGTTGAGGAAACGGAGCTTTTGGCTCATAAGTAGTTTCCACATTTGGGGAGACATGTGTGGGATATCCGTGAATGGTATTGGGACAAGAATTTGGATTAGAAGAGCTTGAATTTGGATTTTTCAACGGCGAAACTTCTTCACTTTTGTCTCCATCGACCTTGTTGTCCACCACTCTACCACTCCGAAGGGTGGTGATAGCTTGAACTTGTTCATGAGTCGGCCCACTCGGAGGAAGGGTTTCGTCAATCACATGCATTCCTCTAGGATTTTCAAAAGGTTGAGAGGGAAGCTTGCCCTTGTCCTTTTGAAGCAATTGATTCACCGAGTTAGCTATTTGGCCCACTTGATTTTCGAGATTAGCTATGGATTGAGTATGAGAGTGAACCATTTGGAGAGTAGGCTGCAAGGATGTCAAGAGTTGCTTGTTGGCATCCATTATTTGCTTATTTAATGATTCCATCATTTGCTTGTTTGCAGCTACTATCTCGTCAGTTGGACACACAGGAGGTTGATTGGAGACATTTGGATTGTAAGGAGGACGGTAGCTTGAAGAGGCTTGGAAAGGTCTACCTTGATATTGAGAAGAGGGCTGATTTTGCCACCCTTGGTTTTGGAATTGGGAATTCTGTGGGGCTTGTTGCCGCCACGAGAAATTCGGATGATCTCGCCAACCCGGATTGTAGGTGTTGGAATATGGATTGTTCCCGGGCCGCGAGAACATGGCATTAGCTTGCTCTTGGTTGGGACTAGGAAATTGCTCCGTTGTGGGGCAATCTTCCGAGAGATGGAATGGACTAGTACATGAAGCACAAACTGAACTTGCCGAATTTTGAGACAATGAAGGAGGAAGATGTGGTGCCATCAATTGATAGAATTTATGAGCGATGGCATCCACTTGAGATGATTCCTCCCTTATTGACTTTGGTTGACAAGGGTTGGTGTTGTTTGGAGTGGTTGCGGTCGGAGCCCTACGAGAATTGTGTTGAAGTGAATTTTCACTCAAATTCTCAAGTAAGGTCCAAGCCTCATCCGCATTTTTGGACATGAACATCCCACCACAAGAAGAATCAACCATGAATCTATGGGTTTCGGTCAAGCCGGCATAGAAAGCTTGCACTAATTGCCATTTTGGGATCAAATGATGAGGACACTTCCGAAGAAGATCTTGTAACCTTTCCCAAGTCTCGTGGAGTTGTTCTCCATCAACTTGAGAAAAGCTTAGAATGGAACGCCTCATTTGGTTGGTTTTACTCACCGGATAATACTTCTTAAGAAATTCTTGTTGCAATTGAGCCCAAGAAGTAATAGAGTTGGGAGCGAGGGAGTTCAACCAATATTTTGCCCTATCCTTTAGGGAGAATGGGAAGAGATGGAGATGAAGTGCATTGTCCGGAAAACCTCTCAACCGGATGGTTGAACAGATTTCAAGGAACTCATCAAGATGCTTGTATGGATCTTCATTATCAAAGCCATGAAATGATGGAAGCATTTGAATGGTACTAGACTTGATCTCATATTGAGCTGCATCGATGTTTGGCATCACTATGCAAGATGGAGAAGCATAGGTGGTAGGGATGAAATGATCTCTAAGAGTCATTGGCTCGATATTAGGAATTTCAGCCCTTTCATTCCCGGGATTTCCTACGTTATCCCCCATTATATTGAATTCAGTTTCAAGGTCCCTTGTAAGAGTGGGTTCCCTAAGGTTCCGTCTAAGAGTTCTTTTAAGAGAATTGATATCAATGGGCGAATCGATTGTGGGTAAGGAAAGTGACCTACGACCGAACATCAACAATAAAGCATATACTCAACAAAGCAATTCATCAACCACAACTCCACATACGATGTTCCCTTTCTCCTCAATTATCAAGACGGAAAATGTAAATGGCCACGACAAGGACCGATGCTTTAACACAAAATTTAAACAGGATAAGAGCCTCAACAAGGGCTTCACAACTAAACTAAAACTAAATTTAACACATGCACAATATTCACAACTCGAAACTAGAAGTCACGAGACTTACCTGGGGTCCTCTAGACTTACAATTTGCTAGCATTCCCACGGCGAGCTTCGAGTCCCTAGAATCTTACAACACTTAAAACACAAAGGTGGTCAAAACACACAAGGAATATTCACAAGACACAATATTCACAATCAAACTAAATTTAACCCTAGAAACTTCGGTTGCTAAACCGTTTGCAGTACCCGGCAACGGCGCCAAAAATTGATCGGTTGGTCAATTAACATCAACCTTCGCAATAGCACGAATCATTGTAAAATAGGGCTATTGGTCGGGTAAGTCGAACCACAGGGACTACGCTAGTCTAATACAACCTAAATGTCTAGAATCATTCTTAGAATGATGAAGGGTGTATAGAGGTTTTGTTGGATGTCACTTAAGCTAGGAAATTAAAAGTGCATAAAATAATAAATTGCAAGAATTCAAGGGAGTGAAGTACAAGTAAAGAAGGCTAGGGAAATGAACCCACCTCCATCCCTATACACATGCTAGGTTAAGATTAATTTAAGGGGAAAACAACATATATGATAGTCATGATACATAACAATACTAGGTTGCTATAATATCCTTAAGAAGTTCATTTAATTAGAAAGGCAAGAATAAACCATCAAAGGTTCACATGATCAACTACATAAACTAAAATGTAGCTTAGAACATGCTTACTAAGCCAAGGATTATCAAGCCCTAATTTAAATGGTTAATGCACATAAAGCTAAGAATCAAGTATAGCCCATCAAAGGGAAACCCTAAGCCATGAACTATCTAGGTTCTCCAACTCCATGCCATTAAAATCATTCCATGATCTAACTTCCATTGTCACCATGGAAGTGCAAGCAATATGATTAAGAAAAGCAACCATCCAAGACAAGATGAATAACTCACAATAATCATTTAAAACATTCAACATTCATTACAACAAAAATGAGGCTCTTGATCATGGAAAGACTATCAAAAATACATTGTAATCCCCAAAAATAAACTATACTAACACATGCTTACAAGGGAGGGGTTTCATCACCTCCCTAGATGAGGTTTAGTTACCCATTGGTGAACTAGAAGAAGGAAGAAGCATCATCCTCATCTCCATTTTCGAGCTCCTACTGTAGCACTCAAGAACACCCTTCTCCTTGCTCTCTTCTCTCTCCTTTCTCTTGCTCAAGATAAAGCTTAATCATATATGTGGCCTTTGGGTAGCCTTTTATGCTCCAACAATACCCTCTCTCCTCCAAGGAACACCTCCAACCACTTCATAAAGAAGGGAGATGGCATTGGGGAAACCAATGTGCAAGTGGGCTGAAATGAGCCATTTCCGAAGGGCATTCTGCCTGATTTTCGAGCACACGCTTGGTGACTTCGAGCACTCTAACTTAGTGCAATGTGCAACATGCTCCTCTTGCTCAGTGCTGACCTATTTTGGGAAAACTGCTATAACTTTGTGCCCCGAACTCCGAATGACGATCTGTTTGAAGCTTTGGAGAGCTGATTCAGTGTTTTAAAAACTTCATGTTTTGATGAAGACCCAATTCTCAAGTCTGGTTGGTCGAAAATGGGGAGAAAGGCAGTACATCAGTGCTGCTAGGCAGTTCTGCGCACCTCTGTTGTGAAGATCATAACTCTCTGCTCCGAACTCCGAATGATGAACCACTTGAAGATTTGGAAAGCTGATTCAGAGCTCTAAATCTTTTATGTTATGAGAGAAGTCCAGTTCTTGAGTTTGGAAGGTCAAAATGGCAAGCAAAGTCCAGGCTCTACTGCTGCCAGAATTCAGCATTGGCACCTTTTGTTGCTCAGGATTCCACAAGGCCTTATTCTTGTTCCATTTTGGCCAATGAACCTGAAAATGCATAAAAACATAAAATTGGAGTTAATCTACATAAAATAATTAATAACTGGACTTTGTTAATGTAATTTAGGGCGCTTGAATGTACATTATTCGGCGCTTATCATTGATGCATGTCTATGTGTATTAATGCTATAGATCTAGAGATTGTCAAAACATAATACTTAATGGAATGTTCTTGTGATTTACTTGACGGTTCATACTCATTTCTTGATGGATTGTGCCTCTCCCTTAGTTAAATTAGTTAATTTCATGTCATTAGCTTAGTTGTAGTGTAGTTGTTAAATGAGAGGACAATCTATGCTTGTTGTTTGATGTTCCATACTTTTGAATGCAAGTAGCATATGTCTCTAACCTTGTGATGTGTTTGGATTGTGAGCTTAATGAAAGGATTAATGGCTTAGTTTGATATATTGTGCTTTTCACTATGTTGCTTAGACAATATATACTTAATTGGTCATCCGTGCTAATTGAAACAACCAAACACACACACACAAATATTGCAACACATATCTTCCCCTCATTAATCATTCATTAAAAGTGTAGAAAAGTATGCTTAGTGGTGATCTCTAAACCCCAAGATCTATCTCTCTCTCTCTTTTATTCTCTTTATTGCATTATTGTTTACTTTAGTTTAATTTGCATCTAGTGTAATTTAACCAACCAACCACTATTTTGATCACTAGACCTATTAACCCTAATCTTGATTCCACAACCTAATACGACCCACCAATCCCTTGGAACGATCCTTACTTGCCCTACCTATATTTTTAGTGAAAGGTAGTAGTGGCAATTTCTAAATGTAAAACTTGGCCACATTCATCATAGCTCTACACCACTATCTTTTAGTGCACAAACTTTGGGTCGGTGTGTGACAAACCACCAATTGTTATGTATACCACCACTCTAAAGGAGCACGTGCAGCACTTGAGGGCAGTTTTCCAAGTCCTACGGGAGAACGACCTATATGTGAAGACGGAGAAATGCTCCTTTGCCCAAGAGGAGGTGTTGTTCCTAAGGCATAAGATATGGGATGGTAAGCTAATGATGAATGAGGCAAAGGTGAGGGCCATTCAAGAGTGTGAGCCGCCCACTAAGGTGACAGAGCTATGCTCATTTCTTGGGCTTGTTAACTACTACCGTCGTTTTATTAAGGGTTACTCAGTGAGAGCAGCCCCATTGACAGACCTTCTCAAGAAAGTGCGTGCTTGGAGTTGGACAAAGTTATATCAGGGGGACATTTGATGACTTGAAGAGGGTAGTTACAGAGGAGCCAGTACTTAGCTTGCTCGACCACTCCAAGCCATATGAGGTGCACACAGATGCATCAGACTTTGCTATTAGGGGCATGTTGATGCAGGAAGAACACCCCATAGCTTATAAGAGACGCAAGCTTAATGACACCGAGCGGCGCTATATGGTGTAGGAGAAAGAGATGACAGCGGTCATCCATTGCCTACGTACTTGGAAGCACTACTTGCTCGGGGCACAATTTGTGATCAAGACGGATAATGTTGCCACCAGTTACTTCTAGACATAGAAGAAGCTTAGCCCCAAGCAAGCTCGTTGGCAGGACTTCCTAGCGGAGTTCACTTATCATTTTAAATACAAGCCGAGCAAGGCCAATGTTGTGGTGGATGTGCTTAGTCGCAAGGCTGAGCTCGTAGCTATTAGTCGGCCCTAGCACCCTCTTGTGGAGCGGATCAAGGAGGGGTTGCAGCATGACCCTCTAGCCAAAAGCCTTATTCAACTGGCTAAGGAAGGGAAGACTCGGCGCTTTTGGCTAAGGGATAATTTACTTCTCACTACAAGGGACCGACTCTTTTTGCCCAAGTGGGGCAACTTGTGAAAGGAGTTGATATGGGAGTGCCACGACACCAAATGGGCTGGTCACCCAGGTATGCGGCGTACACTAGCACTCCTTGAAGATTCATATTATTGGCCTCGAATGCGCGATGATGTGGAGACATATGTGGGGACTTGTCTTGTGTGCCAATAAGACAAGATTGAGCAACAGCATCCTGCAGGCCTACTGGAGCCATTGCCTATTCTAGAGAGACTATGGGAGAGTGTCTCTATGGATTTCATTACTTGCTTGCCCAAGTCAGAAGGTTATGGGAGCATTATAGTGGTGGTAGATCGGTTCAGCAAGTATGCCACCTTCATACCCGCACCAATAGACTACACAGCAGAGAGGGCAGCAGAGTTATTTGTTGACCATGTGGTCAAGCTTTGGGGAGTTTCGCAGAATATTGTCAGTGATAGAGACCCGTGTTTCACAGGTAGATTTTGGACGGCGCTCTTCAAGAAGATGGGGACGGATCTCAGTTTCTCTACGAGTTTCCACCCCCAACCAGATGGGCAAACGGAGCGCATCAATGCTCTCTTGGAACTATACTTGCGGCACTATGTAAGTGCCGATCAGCGAGATTGGGCTAAACTCCTTGGGGTGGCACAGTTTTCTTACAACTTGCAGCAGAGTGAGGCTACCAATCACAGTCCATTTGAGGTTGTTACCGGATGGCAGCCTATGACACCCAACGCTATTGCTTCAACTTGCAATGGTAAGAGTCCAGCGGCCTACAAATTTGCTAAGAGGTGGCATGAGTAGTCCGACTTGGCTAGGGCGTACCTTGATAAGGCGGCAAAGAAGATGAAGAAGCGGGCCGACACCAAGCGAATGCGGGTGGAATACATAGTGGGAAACCAGGTGATGGTTAAGCTCCTACCCCAACAGTTTAAGTCCTTCCGGAGCGTGCATAAGGGGCTAGTAAGGAGGTACGAGGGCCCGTTCCCCATTGTCAAGCAGGTAGGCAAGGTCTCCTATATGGTAGAGCTTCCACCCAAGTTGAAGATACATCCAGTCTTCCATGTCAGCATGCTCAAGCCTTATTATGAAGACACGGCCTTTGTCACATCCTTTGACAAGGAAGTTGATTGCATCCTTGAGGATCGTGTGATGAGCAGAAGAGGTATGCCCAAGTATACAGAGTACTTAGTGAAATGGAAGAACCTGCCAGATAACAAGGCGAGCTGGGAACATGAGGATATACCTTGGCAGTTCGCAGAGCATATCCAGTGGTTCAAGCAAGAAGACGCGACGAGGGCGTCGCGAGCTTAAGTGGAGGAGAATGTCATGCCCCGCACCCAAGAGGCTACTCCACGCAGGCGCCACGCAGACGCCCAGTAGACGATGACATGGAGCCTACATGGACAGGAGCTTTCTAGACTTCTCTACATAATTATGAAACTTTCCAGAATTCTCTAGATTAGTGTGGAGTTGTCTAGCCTTTTCTAGACTTGTCTAAAGTTGTATAGAATTCTCTAGACTTGTCTTGTACATTATAGATAGTTCTAGAATTGTGTAGATATATCTTTAGAGGATTCTAGACACTTATTCTTGGCCACACATTTGTACACATTTAGAATGTTCTTGTAAGGCCAAAGGCCTATAAATAGGAGGTGGGAGTTCATTTGCTCCTTACCAAGCAACCTAAGTTGTAATCTTCTCTCAAGTAATACAAGTGTTCATACATTCCCAAACTCTCTTGCTCACTTGCCTAATCTCTTCCTACACAGCCAAGTAAGCAAAGCTCTTGTCTAGCCTTAATCTTCACTAAGCTATCATACTCGGGTAGGCTGACTTAGCGCTTCAAGGGGGCTTGAAAGTGTCTAAGGCCGCACGTGAGTTTGGAAAGGTCTAAGTCCGTGACAGGGTGCTCTTTATTGAGTTTACACCTGTGGGACCGTGAACAAGAAACAAAGTGACCCAATTTGTAGAATAATCAAGATTATTATCTTTATGTGAGAGCATCTCCAATAGTTTGTTAAAATATTATTTTGTATAAAATATATACAGACACATATAATGTATAAATTTTTTATTTTTTATTTTAATTTTGTAATCTGTTAAGATAAACAAAAGTGTAAAATTGTTGTGTATTTTATACAACCATTTTATACTGCCACATCAGGGCCGACCCTAAGATTAACAAAATCTTGAGAGGCCCTAAGTGAACTTAAATGTGAGGCCCTTTATATACAAATATTCACATGCGTAAAAAAATTATAAGAGTGGCGAATTTTTGTTACAATGAGAAAATAATCACATAAAATATATTAATGTTGAAAACACAAAAAACAAAATATGATCTATTAGTTTATCTCAAATTTTACATTTGCCATTCCTCGTATGGTCTATTAATTCACTCCCCACAGGATAGATGAGCTAAAGTTTTAGAATGATATCACATTAATTTAAACTCAAAAAAAAATTTCAAGTTTTCTAATGGATCAAGTTTAGAACTTTCAACCCATTAATTTTTTTTTTTTTTTTTTTTAGAATTTTGCTTTAACGGAGTTATTATCAACTTCAAATGACTTCAAACTCAGACCCAATCATTTTCCTTTTATATCAAATTGATTATACAGGTATTAAAGTACTAATTTATATTTGGACAATACTTGGGTCCTCCCTTCGGAGGATAAAGTTCATTCTCCCAGTTGATGTGATCCAATACAATTTAGATATATGTTTAAAATTTTAAAATTTCTAAAAATAATCATAACCCATTTTCTTATGGGTTAAACCAAATTCCAATTTTTTTATTTTTTTATTTTTTTCCTTTCCAAAAGAATCACGATTGTTTCTATATCCAACCTCCATTTAAAATTGGAAAATTACAATATTTATTTAAAGAATGTACTATATCTAGTGTTGAATAGAGAATGAATAGGAGCTTAAAATATCATATGAAAATTTGATGTTAATAGAGGTTTTTTCGTATAATTATTTTTTGTCATAGTTAGCTTTTCTCAAACATCTATTTTTGGTCACAGTTAGATCTATCTTTTGGATCTCTCCCAAGTTTGTTTGTTTGTTTGTTTGTTTTTTTTTTTTTTCCTTTCCTTTTCCTCATTGGTGAAAAAATATGGAAAAGAAAGATTAAAAGTTTGTGAATACTATAAATTCCGATTGGTGCAATTTTATATCACTTATGAGCTTCTATTGGTTTGTATATTATTTTACATATTAAATAAAAGTGTTTGTATAGTATTTTACATATTGAATAAAAGTTGAGTATTTGATTGATGTAGATAGACTAAGGTTTCAGATGGAGGTTGGGTATGAAGATTTGTGGGGGAGAGAGAGAGATGGAAAGGGAGAGAAGAGAGTCTTGCTAAAAGAGGGATTCTAAAATTTTCAAATAGGGAAAGAAAAAAAATTGGGTTTGAGTTTATAACACGTAAGAAGTTGGATAATAACCATTATTAAAAATTTAAAAATTTGAACATGTGTCTAGATTATATTGGGCCACATCAGTTGAAATGATAAAGTTCATTCTCCCATGGGAGGACCCAAGTATTGTCCTTTATATTTATTCAAATTTCATTAAAAATATATTATTTACTCTAATAATAAAGGACTACATTCAATTTCAAAGTAATTACTAACATACATACATATTAACATATAAAATTAGAAAAGGACCGTATTTAATTTCAGAGTTAATTACTGAAATACACACTAATATACACATAAAGTAATAAAGGGTTATATTCAATTTCGAATTTAATTACCAAGTTTTTAAGGGCCCAATTTTGAATAGGCTAACAGGAGTGTGAATTCATTTAATTAAAGGGACTTAAGGTTTTTTTTTTTTAGGGGGGGGGGGGGGAGGGGGTGGAAGGGGCGGATTTGAGGCCTTCTAAATGTTGAGGCCCTAAGCGAACGCCTTGGCTAGGGTCGGCCGTGAGCCACATTAGCTTATTTTCTTTCTCCTCCCTCCTTCGTATTATATTAAGGAATTAATCAATCATATGTTAAGTAGGTTTGAATAAGTTATGCGGGGACACATGGTTGGTTGTTATTAAAAGATACATTTTTACACAAAAAATATAAAATAACGGCCGGAGTTTAAGATAAGTAGTCCAAATTTTTTGTGTAAATCTACCATGACAAATCAAATTTATATAAAAAAAAAATGTACACAAGCGCCGGAGATGCTCTTAGACTATTAAGATTGCACTCTCTATACGTATTTATACATTTACTTGAAATATGATCATCTTAAGATTTTTTTAATGCATAACTTTCTAGACATTAAAAATAGAATAAAATATATATATATATATATATATATATATATATATATATATATATATATAAACAATAAAAGCAAAATTCAACAGAAATCGGTTACATCGACCCTCCGATAATTCTCTATGATTGAATTTCTTAATTATTTTCTTCATTTTCTAGTGGATTTGGATTGTGTTTGGATTAGCAAAAAATTAGTTTACTTTCATGAATTGGTACGATTTTATTTTTTTTGGTTGATTGTGTTTGGATCCTTAGAAAATTGGTTTTTCCGTACTTTTGTTCTTCAAAAGCGTGGTTTGCTCGCAGAAGAGGTGAAACAGAATGACGTTTTGTTTTGTGTAGAAAATGAACAGACTGCTCACTGGTAAGTTCAGTCTCTCGCCGGTTCAGTCCGCTCCTTGTTGTTTTGGTTGCTGCTCCGGTGATTCATCTTGCCGCCGAATCACATTACTCCATTGTCGTCTTCTTCCTCAGTGCACCTGTGAGATTCTCGATCTTTTGCTTGGAAAAGAAAAATAATGGCTCGCATATTTGGACAACCACGTGGGTATCGGTAGGATGTCGATTTTTCCTAGTCGGGTCGTATAGCACTACTCATATTTTAATTCATGCGGAGTTGTTGCTATATTGCTATATCGTTTATGCTCTGTTCAATAGGAAAGAAAAATATTGGATGAAATGGAGACAAGAAAGGATAGATGAGAAAACTTTAGGGAAGAGATTGCGTATTTCCTTCTTTTTGTTTGGTTGGATAGAAAAGATTATTGAGAATAATATTTATAATAATGTAATTTATAAAGAATAGTCTTTGTCATATATAAATTTAGGATAATATTTAATTTAAAACTTCTATAATAATTCATTTGTTTTTTCTCTGCTTATTTTTAGATAAATGAAAATTTATAAAGAAAGAAGGATGACATGTTCTTCATATTTCCCTTTCTTTCCTTGTAACAGAGTTAATTACTCGTATCTTTTTGGTTGGTGGTTGTCTTTCGTTATAACTAGCTGAGCTTGGAGTTTGTTGCATCTTCTAAAGAGAGATTTTGCTAGAAATTTGAATTTTACATTATCAGATCAAATTAACATGCATTGATTACCTTATTTCACCTGTTGACCTGTCCGTTGAGCTTCTTTCCCAATTTACCCTATCAGTTGCAAAATCCAGACACCAAGGTCCACAGTAATTAATACCAAAAAATCATTCATGCACACAAATTTACATATTGAAAATTTTAGATTGCGACATTTAGAAGAATTTCAGTTTTCAGCCAGTAAATTAATGAGTATAGGAAATTTCATTCACTTTTTTTTTTTAATTTTTTTTCTATATTTTTCAATTAGCCTATACTTAGATCTTGTAGTCAATAATTCGTTGACCCATATGTGACTGACTCAACATCCTCTTCTGAGAGGGGAAAAAAAACACATCCTCTTCTGAGACCCATCATAAGTAATGATATACTATATCATGTAGTCGATAATTAATTTGTTAACTGTTTTGCTACATTTTATGGAGCCCACCATGAGTGATGATGTGTCACTTGTGAATGTTGGGGACGGTTTAGTGGCCCAACAAATAGCAGTGAATACAGTACATGCAAACCACTCCTTTTGTATTGCAGTTATTTCTGTATAATATGCATACAAGTTATGGGCTTTTGCTTCTGCATGTTGTTCAGCCTCTCTTCCCTTGTCTCTCAATCTCTCACACACACATATACACACAGAATATTGTTACGTACGTGAAAATGTGGTTGAATTTAATTGCAATCAGACTTTATAACACATTGCCGTATAATTTGAACTCCCTGTGGTAGAAATGTTGCAAAATCTAGCACCATGGTCCACCGTAATTAATCAATTTGCTTTCACTACCAAAAGCAGAAAAAGCAAACCAACAGCACAGATTAATGAGCCCATCTAAACAAAGGTATATAGTTTTCATCCAACCGACTTATTATCTCTCCAGCCACCCTCCTCTACACACACACACACACACACACACACACACATATACATATATATATATATATTCTCATCACTATATATAATAACCTATTGAATCTCACAAACTACATCATCTGTTTTGCTTGCACTCACACCATGAAATCCTCAGACAATATTATTCCATTTAGTCATTTGTCCTCTTCTTCTTTGGGTGTCCACACTGATCATGTCACAATGCCATTTGATCTCTTCCCAAATAACGCCCAAACTTCCCTTGAACCCCTTCCGTTGCTGAACTTGCTTTGCTCACCCGAAACGCCACCGCCACGGGACGAAAACAACCCTAAACCATGCCATGACGATAAGGAAGATGTCACTGTGGCTTTGCACATTGGCCTTCCAAATTGCAGTGCCATTGACTCCATGAATCCAAGTGTGATGACAGACATAAGTATATCAGGTGCCCAACACTGGATTCCAACTCCTGCCCAAATCCTCGTCGGCTTCACTCATTTCTCTTGCCATGTCTGTCACAAAACCTTCAATCGCTACAACAATCTTCAGGTGCAATTACATTATATGACACATATATATACCATGTGTGTGTGTGTGTGTGTTTGTTGTTCTATCTTGAGGTACAAATAGATTCCAAACTAAAAAAAAAATTGTTGTTGTCTCTTGATCTTGTTAAAAAAAAAAAAAAAAACAGAAGTTAGCTTTTCTTAGCTAGTGACAAAGAAGATACCAGACCTCAAACCCTGTCTAGAGGTTGAAGTAGAAATAGATTCCAAACTCAAAGGGGCCGGGTTGTTCTATCTTGATCTTGTAAAGAAAAAAAAAATTGTTTTTTTTTTTTTGGGTGACATTAGTCCTTGTTTTTCATTGCCTTTCATTGATATACATGTGCGTGTATATGCACATATTTTGTAGATGCACATGTGGGGACATGGGTCACAGTACAGGAAAGGACCGGAGTCGTTGAAGGGAACGCAGCCTCGAGCCATGCTACAGATACCATGCTACTGCTGTGAAGAAGGGTGCAAGAACAACATAAACCACCCGAAAGCCAAGCCACTGAAAGATTTCAGAACACTGCAAACACATTACAAGAGGAAGCATGGGATTAAGAGGTTTGAGTGCCGCAGGTGTGGCAAGCCCTTGGCTGTGAAAGGCGACTGGCGAACCCACGAGAAGAACTGTGGCAAGCGTTGGCTTTGTGTTTGTGGTTCTGACTTCAAGCACAAGAGGTCTCTCAAGGATCACATTAGGTCATTTGGCTCTGGTCATGGACCTTTTCCTCCTTCACTTGATGGAGTTGAGGTACATGGGGACACCATGCACTCTCTTTTTGTTTAACATATATTGTCCACTAATGTGCCCTAGCTACATTTAGACATATGGATCGTCTGAGTATCATGGAAAATTATGAAGTAGAAGCCTAGCAAGGAAATGATCGAATTGAACATTAACTTTGAATTCACATAGTTCAGAAAATTGAGTTATATTCTGTTATTAACATACTTAGTGTGGTCTCTTATGTCATCATGACCCTTTTATTTCAGTTGAGTAGTTTGTGTAGGTTTTTGTGTATCTTCATGCGTAGTTTTTTGAGGTTATGGGCTCTTGTTTGCTACCTTTGCTCAGCTTTATAAAATTTGATTTAGAAAAAAATAGTCGGCCTAAAATGAATTGGTATGTTATTGGTCTGCTCATTCAATGGACTTGCACAATTTAATCAAATTGATCCTGCTTACACATAAACATAAAAACCGTTCTCAATCGACTTAAATGACGCATGCTTATTGGATGAGTATTATGCTCCGCTCTCACCGAATATCTTTTTTAATTTTACACCAATTGACACTAAGGAATCATAGACAACAAATTAACTTTAGCTCACTTTTATTGAAGGAAAACTTGAAGTTAACCAGGGAAGTGTGCGGTTTAGAGAAGGGGATTAGTTTCTTCACACTTAATTGATAAAAAATGTAGTCAAATAAAGCATCAGTACAAAAATATAAAAAATGCAGGAGATATATATAGCACAGTTCTAGCCATGGCCTATATCATGGTTTGGAAAGAAAGGATTGGAGACACGATATAACTCAAATGCTCTGAGACTCGGGATCAAAACCACATTAATCACTGAAAATGTTAAATTACTGAACCAGGTAACAACATTTCGTGCAAACACAATGTTAACTTCACCATGAATTGTGATTGTTCGGTAAAGTCAGTACTTAGTCACATAGTTCAAGACTAGTTGTTGTCGATCTTCTTCTTTTTACTAAGGTGTCCAAGCTTCGACAATACAAATATAATCCTAAGCATGGAAAGAACACATTATATTTTAATATAATATTGGGATGTAGGGAAAATAAAAAAGAGTGATATATATATACACACACAAGCGCACACATTATAATGAGAAATAGGGTTAATTTTTACCTTGTTTCTTTATTAGTTACTAATTGAGACAGGTGAGACGACCTTCTTTTTTTAAAAAAAAATCAGAAATTAATAAAAAAACATGAAAAATTGTTGCTGCCAGGATCGAACTGGAGGCCTTTAGTGTGTAAGACTAACGTGATAACCACTACACCACAGCAACAGGCAAGTTCGGTGATACTTGAGGCTCCACCCATATAATTTAACTATAAGACACTGTCAGTTAATTTTCCCTTTTTCTTCCCATATTCTTCGTCTAATTTGTTTTTTCTTTTGCCTTTTTATGTTTTTGACAAATAAATAAAATTTTGAATAAAGTGCAATAAACTAACTAAATTATCAGGCAATTGTACAAAACACCCCCGCTCCCCACCCCCCCTCCCAAAAAAAAAAAAAAAAAAGTACCCCCTTAACTATTAAAAATTTGCGTTTAAAGGCATCAAAGTGAGGTCTTAGATAAGAAAATTACCCTTTAGTGGAACGACGCCGTATTGTGCTTTGTTATCTTCAGCTATTAACGTGTCAAGAAAATGAACAGTAGATTCTGATCGAACGGTCCAGTTCCCAATTTTTTTGTTTTCTACCGTAAATGGGCCCTAACGGTAACCTGTCTCGGGAGATAGAAAAGTCGTTCCTTCTCAGGGGTCATGTGATTGGTAGCATGGAAAGGGACGGCAAAAATGAGGTATCAACAAAAAAAAAAATAGATCGATCGAAACCATAATCAGTTTGATTAATGTAAATAAGAAGGTGCGGGATTTGTTTTCCTGTGTGTGATATATTGTGAAGCCATAATCATTTCGATCGACGTAAATAAGAAGGTGCTGGATTTGTTTTCCTACGTGTGTGACATATTGTGAAGAGAGAGATATACACGAGAAATTGTTAGATTGATATATTGTGCCGAAGATTGATTGTGATACAAATAACAGATTGTGTTAAGCTCTCTTTGTAAACATTTATCTTGATAGTGAATATTTCGGTGCACTCCATGGATGTAGGACAAAATAATTGTGCCAAACCATATAAATCCTTGTGTGATTGTCTTTCCTTCTTGTTTGTTTGTTTTTACTTATATAATTGTTGGAAACTAGTTGTGGTAACTAGTGTTTTAACGTGTGAATGAAACTTGCTTGTGTATAGAATACAACGTTGTGTATATGTTATTGCAATGTGATTATACCAAAGTCATATACGTTAAAACATGGAAGTTATAGGCTAAACTTATGAAGATAGTCACAACTTTTTTGTTGTGACTGTTGGTGGCATTGGAAATTTAACGAATTCTTAACACGTGATTCAACGTAGTTAAGAATGGGTTGGAAAGTTTAGGGATACGACTTTAATAAGAAACAAAGGGATGCGATTGAATGGTGACAGTTGACGATTAATAATTGGGGAAGTTATTTCAGTTATATAATGATAGGATGCAACCCATAGTTGATTGGATGCACCCAATGACTGAACCAACGTGACTTAACCTCAAGAGTCACCAATTCTTCTATAAATAGCCATATAATTCATTTGCAAAAGTGTGCAATTGATTATTCTCTCCCTTTCTCAAGATGAACCCAACCTAAGTGGGTGTGGGTTCAAGCCATGGTCAAGTGGTCTGAGCCACTTAGGCGCAAAACCAAATTTATTGAGCCATATTAAATTTGGTCCGAGCTATTTGGTTCGGATTGCACCCAATTCATTTTTTATATAGTATAGATGCATTTTTGAGTTAGATAGAGTATTACACGGAGGAGGTTCGCCGTATCCACGAGTTTGTAGTACTACTACTGGTGGATGTAGATCGTTGTATCCTGGGAGATAGACGCCACTGAGTCCGTTAGCACCATAGCGGGACGAATCTGTCTTAAGGATATAGTATCCAATACTAGTCTCAGTCCAGGTTCTTTATTTATTATTATTATTTTATTACTTTATTTTACATATTTAATTAAATATAGAGTTGCATATTTAATTAATGATTTATTAGCATATTGTTAATTATCTCATGACATATTAGTATAAGGTTTGTTATATCTTAAATGTCACATGAAAGATATATTTATCAACAATCTTAAGACAGATTTATTCCTTGTGTAAATTTTATTATATGTTTCTATTTAAGATATAAGTAAGTAGAAATTATACTAATAATTGAGATATAATAAAATAATGTTATATACATTATTATATAATAATATGCTAAATATTGATGTGTTCAATATTATATGAAATTGAAGCATGTTATATAAGTAGAATATTGAATTATTTATATAATTCAATTTTGGTTGAATTATTTTAATTTTGTAATATGATGTAGTATATTATATTATATTAAATTTGTATCAATAAGAGGTCGAAAAGGGTACTTCGTTAGTTTTATCAATGATTGCATAAGATATTGTTATGTATATTTGTTACGAAACAAATATAAAACCTTCGAAATGTTTTAAATATTACAAAAATGTGATTGAGAATCAACTTAGCAAAAAGATCAAAACATTTGTGCTAATATTTCTTCAGAACATGATATCATTCATGAAGACATGATGAATGCTATATTGATAAATTCTGGTTTAACTCAGAATTTGTGGAGGGAAGTTTTGCTTTCCGCAAATTATGTTCTCAATAAAATACTTTAAACTAATATGACACCATATGAATCATGGAAAGGTCGAAAACCTTCTTATAATTTGTTAAAAGTGTGGGGGTGTCTAACTAAGGTTGTAATTTATACTCCTAAGAAAGTTAAAATGAGACCTAAAATGTGGTAACCTTATAGGTGGGTGTGTCGTGGGCAAATGCAAGAGGCACCGACAAGCTACCATACCGGGCAAGCTACAGGTGAACAGTCCCACATCGCTTAGGGAAAGGAAATGCGAAGTGTTTTTATGTGGTGGCGTTATCTCCAATTGGTATGAAGGCCTTCTGGGATAAAACTCAAAGCAGATAATATCATACTATGTGGTAGAGTAGATCATTACTTAAAACCTTTGATAGGTTATGCTCATAACATAAGTGCATATCATTTTCTTATGCATAAATCATACAATAAAAATAAGGATGAGCTTAGACGTAGCCAGAGGGCTAGAACGTCTACATCTTTTGGTCCTGATTTTCTAGCATGTTTATTGGATAATGAGCTACAAAACTTTAAGAAAATAAAGTCTTCTCCTGAATATTATTATTTCTTAGATTAGTTATATGATATAATTAATCACGTGGTATAATATTATTTATATGAGTTCATGACTGGTTTGTGTATTTAATATAACAGACAAAAATTGACTAGTCTAGCTATGTCAATTCTCCCGATAGTCAAGTGAAAAAGATCTATATTAGTGTTTAAAGATACGTATAATTATGAATGAACTGAATAAGATAAGATTTTTCGACAACTTTAATGTGTCTAATGGAAAATGTTATGGATATAAAAAGAAAGTACACTGAAACAAGCTAAATCAATCTAGTTAGTTAAAATGTACAATTTAGCTAAAAGCTAAAATGTTACTAAGTTGTAAACTAGTTAGCTTAACTATAAGTTAAAATGATTAATGAGGTGTACAAAACCTAAGAGGAAGATGAAAATATGTTAGTTGGTTCTTGCTCTCAACTTGATAATAAAAAACATGAGGGTAATAAGTAGCCATTTTAGCCATGAGCTATTTGAGCTATACATTATATCTGCTCATGTAAGAGGGAATAATAATACTTGTAAAGTAGTAGTTTTTGAAGAATATTTTTCAAAACAAATTACTCTACTACCAAGATAGACTACTTAGATAAGTGTGTACTAAAGCTATGAACTACTAGAATTGATAGTTAAACAAACTTAACTTCAAGCTAACGGTAAAAGTTGAGAAGTGGGTGCTTATCATAACCTAGTAGTGAGATATGAGAAAAGTGTGTAATAA